TGACAGACTTATTTGGGCCTAAGCCTTTGTGGGTTTCCCTCTGAAGAAGGGGGGGTTTTTCTCCAGAAAGCTTATGCCCAAATAAATCTGTCAGTCTTTAAGGTGCCACCAGACTCCTTGTTGTTTTTGGAAGAACACTACGCCTCTGCTAGCTTTTGCAATTATAGAGTATGACTCACCCATACATATATATTTTTACCTGCGTTAATCTCTCATTAACTCTCATTTCTTTTGCCTAGCTAATAAACGTTTAGTTAGTTTGCTATAGGACTGTCTTTGGTGTGAGATCTGGGATGCAGATCGCCCTGGCTGAGTGTTGGTCTCTTGGGACTGGGTGTTACCTGATTGTTTTGTAATTGTTGGTGTAAGTGACCATTTCTCACATAGTCCAGCTTGCCTGGGTGGCAAGACAGCCTGAAGCGTCTACGGGGTCTGTCTGCGACTCCATTACAAGAATATTGTAGTACTTTGGGAGTTCACATTTGGTACAGGGTTGGTGAAATCTAATTATAGAACATATGACCAGTCTGGGGTGCTGGCCCTGCTTTTTGACAGTCTGCTCGAAGGTCGGCCCTCACGCTTGTGAGCCACTCCAGACAGGGTGACATGGGGAAATTGACCAGAATAGTTATTGCAGAACAAAATATTCCACAATAACTAGAACAGTTAGTGCAAAATAAGCTATTCTGGTCGATATCCCCCCGTTGATATGCTAAACCAAAGCTGGGTTAAACCAAAATAAGAGCTTGCCTAAACAACTGAAATAACGGTATCTTCTCCTAGCCTTATGTCAATGAAGCCAGTTATTTCAAAATGGAACACTCCTGTGGTGAAACGAGAGAGCCCCCACATAGCCTGACACTGAAATAACTAAGGAGATGAATTAAAACCCATATGGTTATTTTGGTTCCCATGTGGCCAATCCCTAAGAGCATCCGCATGGCCTTTTGCGCCAGTTTAGCTAAATCGGTTTAAACCAGGGATTCTCAAACTGGGGGTTGGGACCCCTCAGGGGGTCACGAGATTATTACATGGGGGGTCGCGAGCTGTCAGCCTCCACCCCAAACCCGGCTTTGCTGCCAGCATTTATAATGGTGTTAAATATATAAAGAAGTGTTTTGAATGTATAAGGGGGGGTCGCATTCAGAGGCTTGGTATTTGAAAGGGGTCACCAGTACAAAAGTCTGAGAACCCCTGGTTTAAAATCTGGTACAGCTCTGCGTGTAGACAAGGCCAAAGAGAAGAAGCTTTGAGCTAACGACTTTCAAGGGAGTTGGCTCCTAACTCGCATAGGAACGTTTGAAAATCCCATCCTTAGTGATTAAAGGACTGGAAGCCAGGACTCCTGGGTTCTGTGCCCAGCAGCTTGCTGTGTGACCTTGGGCGAGTCTCTGCAGCTAATATCCTTCACAGGGGCAGTGTGAGGACTGGAGGGTATTTTGTGATCCTTGCATGAAAGCTGCTAGAGAAACACGGTCTTCTTAAATTATCCAGTGGATCATCCGAAATCCCCATAAAACTGAGAGAGAGGGCGACTGCTCCAGCCCGAACGGAGGCCGAGAGAGGTGAAGGGACTTGCCTCAGATCACGCAGCGCTCCTGCAGCAGAGTTGGGGTTAGAACTCAGAAGTCCTAACTCACAGTCCCGAGCTCCAAGCCCAAGGCACAGCTCCTTCTTTAGACAGTGTCTCTCTCCCCTCTGTGCCCATCTCAGGGCACTGGCTTGGCAGGCCCAGCAGTCTCCCCCCCAACCTCCAGCGAGATCTCACCTGTAAGAGGATGACGAAGAGGAAGTAGAGGTTGGCCAGCCGATGGAACTGCTCATAGAGGTTGAGCGGCAAGAAGGTCAGGACGTTGTATTTGGCTGTCTTGATGGCATTATCCTGGAAGGAGCATTTTAAAGACTGACATGCCAGGGCTTCCTGCCAGCCACTGGGATCTCACGGGGCACAGGACATCCCCTTCTTCCCAGGTTAAATTCCAGATTCACTCTGCAGTGGGGCTGCTGGGCCTAGAAAGTGCCAGGGATCTACACCGAGGGAGGGGGGTATACGGTGGAAGCAGAGCTCCTTTCCCCCACACCCACTCCTCCACCTCAGGCTCTGCAACCCTGTGTCATCTTTTACGCCAACACAAAGCACTACCAAGTCAGAGTGGAAGCATCCAACCCCCCCTTTGCACCCAGTGACTGACTGCCCAAGGTGCAGGGCAACTGAGAATCAGGCCCTTAATCTTCATGGCCCAGTTCCTCGCATGTATTTAGGTGCCTAACTCCCTTTGAAATCAATAGAAGTCAGGAGCCTAAATACCTTCGAGCATCTGGGCCTATCAGCTCATCTCCCGGCCTTACTCTGGGTGTGTGGCTGACACCAGGGATCTCCAGAGCTAAAGGCAGAAGTTGCTCCAGCTAGAGCTAAGAGCCGAGTCTAGCAGCCGACTCGTATCCTCAGTGGATCAGGCCTGGCGGGGAGCATGTAACACAGTCAGTGGGTTACACACCCCATCCTACCCTTTCTTATCCCCGCTCTCGCATGCCGGCTTTTCCATTTTACCTCTGCTGTCAGGTCCCACGGTAACAGATCCTACCCAGTCACCGCACAAAACACACGCCTCTGAAGAAGCAGGACGAGAACCCTGCTCCAAAAAAACCCGCCAGTGGCTTCTACCACTTGAGCTAAGGAAGCCTTCCGTTAGCAGGGAGGATCATCCGGTCCCTTACGCTCTCTACGGACCAGCCACTACAGGCCATGTCTCCCTCAAGCACACAAAGCCACGACTCCCTTCTAGGAGAAATCTCAATGGCCCAACACGCTGCTCTGGACCGTGACTGGCGAACACTGCAGCAATCGTACGGAAAGCCAGCCCCACCTTCCTTATGTTGAATGAGGCAGAAAAGGCGCTTCCGGTCAGCCGCTCTGGAGATCTGTCTGCTCACGCCCTGCCCACGGCCAAGGGGCTTGCACTACCAGCTGGGAAATCAGCGGAGACGCTAATGGCCATAAAATAAGCACAGGCTTGAAGCAAGGTGACTCACCTCATATTTTTTCCTCGTCAGGCAGAAGGCAACTCTCTTCTTGAACTGTGTGTGATAGGCTCGGTCGTTGGCCTTCACCTCCCAGGTGAAATCTGGAAAAGCAGCCAAACGGTGAGCCAATGTCTGGGCAACAGTCTCTGGCCCGTGGGGAAACGAGGCAGAACCAAGACAGATGACAGCACCATAAGGCCCACAAGGAGCTCTGGGTACTGCTTGCTGCTGGCATGATTGGCTTTCCCCGAGGAGGATCTTGGGACCCACTGGGATTGGGATCCCACAGGCCTGATTAGAAGTGGCCTTTGGGGCAACTGGAGCAGAGCGAGAGTCCATTCCAGCTCCAGCCCCGGTGTTTTTTTCTTTGCTCCTCACTAAGCACTAGATTGTGCCCAGCCCAATGTAGAGACTGCCAGGGGACAGAGAGCACCTGAAGCCTTCCCCTGCCACTCACTCCGGCTCTGGAGCCTGTTGCAAGCTCGGCTCTTGGATTTCTGGTGCCTGAGGACTGAGGGGCTGGAGTCCGCTGAGGAAAATCAAGCCGAGCAGAGCTGGCATGGAGTGGGCAGTCCTGCCTTTCCAAGGGGGCAGGAAGGGCCTGTCTCAGCCATTTTCCCTCAGGAACAATCCCAGGGCAAAGATGGTGATTTAATGGCACAACCGAAGCCTTGGTGAATGAACAGATCCCCCTCCCAAAATCATTTAAATAGATCCTACGATATCTTTTTTTAGTACCAGGGTATAGCTACTGCTAAGTTGGGACATTCTTAGCCAAGGTTCCTAACTCTCCCACTTACAATGGCTCCCTACACGCCAAACTCGGCCTCCCCAGCTCAGGTTCTCCATTCCCAATCCACTCTCCCAATGCCAAACAACCCAGCCATGCCATCTTGCACTGACCTAACTGCTTCTTACTCCCATTCAGGTAGCTCTCGAGTGACTCCTGGTTGGTCATGCTGCCAGAATCTAGAAAGCAAAGGAACCAAACATCTTTACAATAATGAACAATAATCGTAGCCAGGTTTTATAGTTCTACGTCTCTTTTCCTTTCACGGGATGGCAATACACTTTAACCGTGCTGCCCTGGTTCTTTAAGCTCTCTGGGGCAGATATCCCAGAATGCAATACCATTCCTCAGTGGAGTCATTTCCTCCTGACCCCAGACAGTGATGAGCTTCTGCCCTGAAGCCTTATATTGGCTAGATTTTATTACCCCAGCAGGTGTAAATACACATTATCCACCCTGACGTCCAATTCTCCTTAATTAACTCCTTGTCTCAGTCAATATTCCACAGCAGGTTGATTATGTATTGCATAAAAAAGTATTTTCTTTCCATCTGTTTTAAAGGCGGTACCTTTTCATTGCAATGAGGGCCAGCAATCCCATTTGTTACGCTACAATCTTCCATCACATTTCCTATTAATCTCCTTTCGGCACAAAACAGTCACAGTGCCAAACGCTCTGCTGGTTTAAGCTGATGTCAGTCCAGCTGGGTTGAAACCACTTGTGGCAGGACTAAATCTAGTTCCGTGGCTTTAACTTCTCTCACTCAGGCCTCGAGTCATTTTCATTGCCTTGCCACCTAGATGCGGCATTCAGAACTGGCTCGAAACCTACTTCCGAACTTCTCCAGAGATCATGATCTCTTCTCTGGATCAAATATCTGCATGCGGCACTCTTTAGGTCCTGAAGCAACGTACGGGCCTTGTGCAGGAGTAAATGAGTGACCTAGCCGGCCTGTTGGAATCAAATGGGTCCTGCTAGTAGCATCAATTACAGGAAGTCTAGGTTAGCTTTTAAAGTAGTAAAGGCCTGTATGCTTAGAGCAAAGGTCCCAGGGCTCTAGCAACGATTGCTAGAGCACGTGCAGATTATTCTGGAAGAAGTTGACTTTCACTGCTCCAAGTGACATCCTTGGGATACCCTAAATTTTCATCCAGTGACCCCTGCACTGAGCCCAATCATTTGGATTTGATCAAACATCTCTTCCAGAAAGGCAGCCAGTCGGGATCTGAAGACATTGGGAGATGCAGAGTCCATCACTTCCCTTGGGAGTTCGTTCCAGTGGTTAATCATAGCTTTGCAGCTCATGGATTCATTACAGCTATTCAGACTTTGCAGGGACAGGACTCCCACTCAAATCAGAGAGGCCAACGTCTAAAGAAGGGCTCCAGAATCTGGCCCAACGTTGATGTGGTTTTCTCTGGGATGAGGTGACCAAACCTGTATTTAAGACGAAGCCAGCACTAATAGTTGACACAGCAGCAGCAGCATGGATTATCTTCGAGCCCCACCTTAGTCCAGCCCCAGCTACTCAGAACAACTCCTAGATATCTCCCCCGCTCAAGAGGTTACAAGAAATGGTTTGGGACCATCATCATGTAGGAGAAACTCTGTCCCCTCCTGTGATCCCAACCAAGTGTCTCATGCTCAGAGAGCAAACACCTCTGTCAATTACAAGATTGGCTTTATGCCCGAAGACCTTCCGCACAGGTATGTTTGTGGACTGTTTGTGAAATGCTTTGCGATCTTTAGATGAAAGGAACTAGAGAGGCGTGAAGCGTTAATTACCTCATTAGTTAATAATCCCACACGGAGGTCTGCCCTGTCATTATTTTTATCCCTTCCCTTTGATCACCTCCCTTTTTTCCTTTTTCTTTTTCTCTCTTCTTTCCCTGCAGTGTCTCTTTCTCTCGTGCGCTCCTTTTTCCCTCTTCCCATCACTCTGATTATAACACTGTGCAATTTAGTTTGATGCTAAGTTTGCCCCGACACACATGAGCACAAAACACTTTAGGGAGACACTCACAACACCCCCGAGGAAGGGCAACATCTGACAACCCCAGATCCAACCTCGCCTGAACTTTGGGAGACATCAGCTCTCTGTAGTGCCGCTCCAGTTCGTGTACGACTGCTCAGTCCGGACCAAGGGCTGGTGTACGTACAAACTTGCACCAGAATAAGTGAATCTGTTTTAGTTCATATCTTTAGTTCAACATACGACACTTTTACTCCAGAACGAGCATCCACACACAGACTTTCCCCCAAATCCCAAAGGTGTGAATTAACACCCCAACGTAGGGGATCCCTGTGCAGAGACACTGGAGAGCACAGGTTAGGTGCTACAAAGCCAGAGAGAACCACAAGGCTTGTCTGTGTCCAGCAGCCTCAATAAAGAATTCCCTTTGAATACAATACAGCCCTGCCTCATCTCTACAGCTGTCAGATCTCAGCTTCTGCACCCGAGTCCCAGTGGTCCTCCTAGTGGCGCACACAAGCAGGAGTTGCCTGAAAGGGGTCAGAGAGAGACCCGTGGCTCCTCCTCCTCTCTGCGTCAGCTGAGGGTGCGGCTGGAGGCATGCTGCCCCGCTAAGGCTGGGGCAGTGGCAGTGCCCACGTTCCCCAGTGGGGAGCCCCAGAGGAGGGGGAGAATTGCTCCTGCCCCTCCCACTCCTGACACTGGCTCGGGCAAAAATCTCACCGACAGAGACAACATGTCTTTTTTAAAAAATGGGTTTCTCCACAAATAAACTAACCCTAGAGAGGATCTGAGCCTACATCTCACTGACTCCAGCTGGAATTCATAAGGAGTGCCATGCAGTTCCTGCTTTGGGCATAACTGGGGCCTTTTGTGCTCAGAGAAAGTTCTAATATACAGCATCTTCCTGATGCACTTGGCATTTCTGAGCCCCATTGTATCAGTGAATAACTTTTGTGTTATTATTTCTGCTTGGATTGCTCAGCAGCTCAGAAATCCTGATGTTCCCAGCGGCTGCCAAAAAACCCCCCCAAACAAACAGCACAGCGAATTAAGCACCTGGCAAGATTTGAGGCACATAGTTGAAATGGAAGCTGAGTGTTTGTGTGTGCGTTTGTATAGACATCGGGATTAACTGTCACCTAAGACGGGCGCAACACAAATCTTGCTGCTGGGAAAAAGAAATCTGAGTCGAAAACCCAAAAAAAAAAAAGTGGGGGCAGGGGAGAAAGAACGAAGCTCAAAGGATTCATGAAATATTTCCACAGAAAAAAATACACAGCAAGTTTGGTTTCAAGCAAACTCTCAGCCCTCCATAAATATCATTCATCACCCAGGTAATTACAAATAAAAATTACAAGCCAGGGACCTTTGCATAATCCAGCTCCTCTCGAGACTCAGCTCTCACTTCTCACAATCGAGGAAGAAGGCTTTATTGATTAAAAAAAAACCTGATTTAGAGGAAAAGAGAAGGGCGCTACAAAGAACAAAAATATGTATAAAAAAGTAGAAAAAATAGGAAGCAGATAATAATGAATATAAATCAGAAGCTAGGAATTGTAGAAAATTGATAAGGGAAGCAAAGGGACACAAGGAGCTATCTATGGCCAGTGAGTTAAGGACAACAAGAAGGAGCTTATTAAGTATATTTGGAACAAAAAGAATCCTAACAATGGTATTGATCTATTACTAGACGGAAATGGTAGAATTATCAAAAATAATGCAGAAAAAGCAGATGTATTCAATGAATATGGGAAATATATTACATAATGAAACTCTTTCCATTTCACTAGTAACTCCAGAGGATGTTAAGCAGCAGCTATTAAAGTCAGACATTTTAAAATCAGCAGGTCTGGATAATTTGCATCCTACAGTTTTTAAAACAGCTGACTGGGGAGCTTGCTAGACCATTAATGTTGATTTTCAATAAGTCTTAGAACACCAAAGAAGTTCCACATGACTGAAAGAAAGCTAATATTGTGTCAATATTTACAAAGGGTAAAAGGGATGTCCTAGGTAATTTTTGGCCTGTCACTCTGACATCGATCCTGGGCCAGATAATGGAGAGGCTAATATGGGACTTGATTAATAATGAATAAAAAGAGGGTACTATGATTAATGCCAGTCAACATGGGTTTATGGAAAATAAAGCATGTCAAATTAACTTGATATTTTGAATGGTATTACAAATTTGGATAATAAAGGTAATAACGTTGATGTAATAGACTTAGACTTCTGTAAAGCATTTGACCCAGTATCACATGGTCTTTTGATTAAAAAATTAGAAAGATATAAAATTAACATGGCACAGATTAAATGGATTAAAATCTGTTTTACTGATAGGTCTCAAAATGTAATTGTAAATAGGGAATCATAATTGAACAGATGTGTTTCCAGTGCGGTCCCGCAGGGATCCGTTCTGGCCCTATACTACTTAACATTTTTATTAATGACCTGGAAGAAAACATAAAATCATCACTGACAAACTTTGCAGATAACACAAAAATTGGGGAAGTGGTAAATAATGAAGAGGACAGGTCACAATGCAGAGTGATCTGGATTGCTTGGTAAACTGGGCACAAGTCAACAATATGTATTTTAATACGACTAAATGTAATGTGCATATCTAGGAACAAAGAATGCAGGGCACGCTGACAGGGGGACTCTATCCTAGCAAGCAGTGACTTTGAAAAAGATTTGGGGGTCATGGTGAATAATCAATTGAATATGAACTCCCAGTGCAACACTGTGGCCAAAAGGGCTAAAGTAATTCTTGGAAGTATAATCGGGGAATTTCAAGTAGGAGCAAAGAGGTGATTTTACCGCTGTATCTGGCACTGGTGCGACCACTGCTGGAATCCTGTGTCCAGTTCCTATGCCCACAATTCAAGAAGGACGTTGGAGAGGGTACAAAGAAGAGCCACAAGAATGATTAAAGGAGTAGAGAACCTGCCTCACAGTGACAGAATCAAAGAGCTCAGTCTATTTAGTTTAACAAAGAGAAGGTTACTGGGGGACTGATCACAGTCTATACAGGGAACAAATATTCAATAATGGGCCCTTCAATCTAGCAGAGATCCAATAGCTGGAAGTTGAAGATTGACAAATCAGACTAGAAATAAGGCATACATTTTTAACAGTAAAAAAAAAACGAGGAGTCCTTGTGGCACCTTAGAGACTAACAAATTTATTTGGG